ACCACTTACAATATCTCAACAAATTAAATTGAAAGAAACACTCAAGTTTATCTGCAAACCTTGGAGCTTTAGTGTTTCTAAAGCTCAAACAACATCAAGGGATTTAAGATCTTCTAAGCCAAGAAAAGAGCGATTTTCCTAAGGTGTTCTCCTTAGCTTGAACGAATGTCTCTTGTACCTTAAACACGTAATCAATACTCACTTAAGGTCTAAAATTTAAAGATATTTTAACCAAGTCATGATGAATATCAAAAAGGAGGAACTAAATGGGTCACAAATATTTTAATAAAAAATCTGGCAGCAGCTTTGCCCTGTATTTCGACCCCCTTTTGATATAGTAGACAACAGAACTGACCATTGTGATATTAATAACAATTATATATCTATGTCTTATCTTCATATAGAATTACGAAGCACCACAATTTGAGTTTTAGAGAAAACGTTACGCTCAAAATACTAACTGCTGCCCAGTTCAAAAACGAGATTAAATCTCTTACTTTCAAAATCTCAAATTCTCTAACAACAAACTAAAAAGTTTTACCAACATATGTTGAACAAGAATTTTATCACAAGTTTGAGAGATTTTCTCCACATATCTAAACCTAGGGTTTCAATTAAGCTTAACCCATCTTGATTCTTAAGGATAATATTCCAACATATATTCAAAAGATAAAGACTAAAACTTTTATGTAACCAAATGTGATCTTGATGGTAGTGGAAGAATGGTACTTGTATGGATTGAGAGTTATCCAATAAAAGGGCTAGAAGAAATAAGAAGAAGAAGAAGAAGAAAATGTCTTATGAGAGAGAGAAAGAGATTTTGCTAATAAAGGGTTTATCTCCCAAATGGGTAGAAGATAGATATTATCTCTATCAAATGGGTCAAAAATAGATTTCAATGATCCAATAGGATATAATAAGTCTCTCTTTTTATACCTTTTTTTTAAATTAAAGTAGAAAAATTAAATTTAAGAAAAGTGATAAAACATTAGCAATAAAAACAAGATCATCCAAATGGACATAATTAATTTATAAAATTCAGGGTGTTACATACACTGCATTGGTTATTTGACTAGTTAGTATCATCTGACTTGAACCTCGTCACAACTTCACCAAGGTTAGTCTTGATACTTACTAGGTACTGATTGTGGTGTATTCATACTACACTTCTGTATATTTTTGTGTAGATCCAGGTATTGGAGGTAGTAGGTCTAGAGGGTGAGATATTGCATCGGTCGTGAGGATTCAAAGTAGAGTTGCATGCCATCGCAGTCCCTTGGAGTCTCATCCTTTATGTTGATACTGTTAATTTTACGTTCGAACAATTTTCTATATTGAATCTTCCATATGTATTCAGTAAGAGATAATGACTTTGTACTACCTAGTTCCAGGGAAATATTTCGAGTATTGCTATTTTGGCCTATGTTAACTCTATTTTCATTTTTATATTAAATTCTGTCTTATTATATCATATTTTGTTGATTTATGTGTTAAGTAACTGGCTTATCTAGCGTCACGATAAAAAATCCCACCTTAGATGTCGTAATGGCACCTTAAAGCATTTAAGGATATTTGAACAATCATATCTTCAGCACATAGGCATGTATGAATTCAAAATGCATTGGGGATAAGCATAAAAGAGGAGCATAGAATTATACAATCGAGATGTGAATCAAACTATAGGCATTTGGACTAGCTAACCGCATAAGCAGACAATAATGGTGAAATAGGAACTTGATCAAACCATAATCAAAGTTTACGATAATTATGTGGAATCCAATTCTACGGAAAGAGTTTAAACAACTACCTCACTTGAGTTTCCCTTAGGTTACGACAACGTTCCAAAACTTCTAGCGACTTCAATCTATTAAAGATATGACAAAATTGACCAATAATTAGGAAATGGTTCATGTGTTCAGTTCATTTAAGTATTTTATCAAGCACTAGGTGTGCTATTCGACTACAAGGTTTCTATGGTGGAATTCCTTCATCCCACAACCAATAGTTCTCCTATATTAGTTCAACAACCTCCCCACCACCTTTATTGGTACATACATGCACAAAGAACAACTCCCACTCCTAAGAATCACACTCCTCATTACCCATCTTTTGCCCAAATTCGAAATTGAGGACTAGGGTATGGAACCTTACCTCTTAAAAGAAGACTTGGAAGCTTTCTTTGTTAAATTCCCATGACTTGAGCAAGGAATTGAAATGGAATGTGTGGGGAGATTCTCCTTCTCTCTCTAGTCCCTCCCCTCCTCTTAAACATCAGATATTTGCTCCCAAACGACCCCTTATGCCTTTTATTAGAATTGGATCGGGTTTAGAAATACACAAAAAATACCCTCTAAACCCATTATGCAGTCGTAGAAGATGCCGGAGAACAGGTCTATGGCCTACAAAAGGGACCGCAAAATCACCCTAAAAAACTGGGCTGGCTTGTTCAAGTCTGTGGTGCAGAGCAGTTATGTGGTCACAAAATGGGCCGCTAAACCTCCCTCAAGAAAACTCCTCAGGACGGTTCTGCGATGGAGGTGCGGTTTGCGAAATAGTTATGCGTCCACATAATGGACCGTAAAATGACCTTCAAATTTTGAGCTTCTCATGCTATACTCTACGGCGGATCTGCGGTCCGTGGAGTAGTTTTGCGATCGCATAGTGGACCGCAACAACATCATGTTCTGAAAAAATATTCCACCAACTCCCTAACGTATTGCACAACACAAAACGTTTGTACCGCGGCGAGCTTTCTTCTACACATTAGCGTACCTCGGCACTACAAAACCTCGAATTCTTGGCAAACTTTTATGGGACCTTACAATTATCTTATGTATGGACTCAACTATAATCTTCTAAGCATAAGCCAATCGTGCGATTCTGGATATGAAGTTAAATTCAAGAAAACATGTTATGCTATTAAGGATGAGACTGGTAAAATTATTTTGGCAGGAAAAAGGTATGGAAAAGTTTATATTCTAGACTGTATTGAAAATTTAGATGGTCACATTTTTTGTGGCATCCATATCTGATGACCCCTAGCTTTGGCATACGAAACTTGGCCATGCAAGCATGCACCTGATTGAAAATGTTTCTAGACATAACCTAGTTATTGGCCTTCCTAAGCTAAATTTATCTAGGAACCATGTATGTGATGCATGCCAACTTGAAAAACAAAACTAGAAACTCTTTCAACCCAAAGATATTGTGTCCACAACAAAGCCCTTACAACTACTATAGATGGACTTATTTGAACCTACTAGAACTGCCAGCATTGGAGGTAAACGATATGTATTTGTTATTGTTGATGACTACTCACGTTTTACATGGGTAATATTTCTATCTCACAAAGATGAAGGTTTGAATTTTTTTTGAGATCTTCTGCAAAAGAATTGAGAGAGAAAAGAGGTCTCATTTCAACCATACAAAGCGATCATGGAGGTGAATTTGAGAGTAGATCATTTGAAGAATTCTGCAATGATCAAGGATATACACACAACTTCTCAGCTCATAGATCACTTCAGCGGAATAGAGTGGTTGAACGGAAAAGCAGAACCTTACAAGATATGGCCTGAACAATGATATTAGAGCACTCTCATCCAAATCACTTTTGGGTGGAAGCAGTCAGCACAACATGTCATATTCTCAATAGATGTCTCATACGGCCTATTCTATAGTAAAGTCCATACGAACTGTGGAAAGGTAAAAGGCCAAACATAGGCTACTTTCTTACCTTCGAGAGCAAATGATTCATTCACAACAACAGTAAGGACAATCTTGGTAAGTTCAATCTAAGAAGTGATGAAGGTATATTTCTTGATTATTCAAATAACAGTAGGTCATTTAGAGTTTATAACAAACATACGTTATGTGTAGAGGAATCATTTCATGTTATCTTTGATGATAATAACACTACGGCCGAGAAAGGAATCACTGCAGGCAATGAAGATATCAATCAAGATGTATCTAAGACGAATAAATTTTGAGAACCAAAGAAATCCACTGACAAAAAAAAAGGAACCTACAAAGTCGACTAATGAATCTGTCAGCAATTATGCTGAACCTCAAAAGGAGTTGACTACTCAGCCAGCTGAAACAAGACCAAGTGAATGTAGAAGTAAACCTGAATATCCACAAAAGTTCATCATGGGAAATCCAAATAATGAAATGAAAACTAGAGAGCCCTCAAGAAAAAGGCCAATATCGCACTTTTTTCTCAAATCAAACCAAAGAAGGTTGACGAAGCCTTAAAAGATATCAGCTGGGTACAAGCCATGCAAGATGAACTTGATCAATTTGACAAAAATCAAGTATGGAAACTAGTGCCTAAGACAGAAAATGCTGCAATTGTTGGAACAAAATGGGTATTCAAAACGAAGTTGAATGAGGATGGAAATGTAGTTAGGAATAAATCCACATTAGTTGCTTAAGGCTACTCACAACAGGAAGGAGTCCACTTTGATGAAACATTTGCTCAGGTAGTCCGGTTAGAATCAATTCGTATATTACTTGCGTATGCATCTTTTAAAGGTTTTAAACTTTTTCAAATGAAAGTTAAAAGTGATTTCTTAAATGGTTTTATTGATGACAAGGTATATGTAAAACAACCTCCTGGATTTTAGAACTCACAATTTTCTTACTATGTGAATAAGTTGACTAAAGCCCTCTATGGACTCAAGCAAGCCCCTCGAGCTTGGTATGAGAGGTTGAGTTCATTTCTAATAGATAATGGATTCACTAGAGGTAAGTAGATACTAAATTATTTATCAAAATATCCTCTAAAGGTAATCTCATTATTCAGATATATGTCGATTATATTATTTTTGGTAGTACTGACTCTCTTTTGTGCAAGGATTTATCAAATCTCATGCAGAGTGAGTTCGAAATGAGTATGATGGGAGAACTCATATTTTTTCCTTGGACTTCAAATTCAGCAATCAGAAAAAGGTACATTTATTTGCCATACCAAGTACACTAAGAAGTTGATTCAAAAATTCGGCATGAGCAATGCTAAAGCAATTGAAACTCCTATGAGTCCATCAACCAATCTTGGTAAAGATGAGAAAGGAAAATCAGTGGATGAACCTAAGTATCGTGGAATTACTGGATCTCTGTTTTACCTAACTGCTAGTCGACCAGATATCATGTTCAGTGTGTGTAAATGTGCCAGTTTCAGTTAGCTCCTAAGGAGTCACACTTAACTGCATTAAAGCGAATAAGTTTCTATCTTATCGGAACTACTTCACATGGACTATGGTATCCACGCTCTAACAATTTTAAACTTGAAGGATTTTCTGATGCTGATCTTGTAGGTGACAAAGAAGACTGGAAAAGCACTAGTGGAACATGTCAATTACTGGGAAAAGAATTAACCCCATGGAACAACAAGAAACAAGGATTAGTGGCCTTGTCCACAACAGAAGCAGAATACATTCCCATTGGACAATGTTGTGCTCAATTACTTTGGATGTCTCACTAATTGGGTGACTATGAATTATCCTTTAAACCCATTCAATATTTTGTGATAATTCTAGTGCTATATGTCTCTCAAATTATCCTGTGCATCATTCTAGAGCTAAGCATATTGATATCAAGTATCATTTTATTAGAGATCATGTCCTTAAAGAAGATATAGAATTAATGTTTGTTAGCACTATTGATCAACTAGTAAATATTTTTACAAAACCCTTGTTTGAAGATAGATTTTGTGATTTATGGGAATCACTTGGCATTATCTCACTTAGCACCAAAAATTAGGACCTATGTGTTACTAATTGTTTTTACTGTTTCCTTTAATTTATTTCCATATGTGTGTAAGTTTTATTAATTATGCGCCTCTGTTTTCCCTCAGTTTCAGTTTAATCACGGCTCTCTAGAAAGAAAAATCATTCATCACATCTATTCACTAATGCCTTTTCCTTTTCTGCACTCAACCGACAAATTCACCCTTTTTAGTTCCCTCCATCACTCTTACTCTCTCACATTGGTTCTATCACTCTAAAAACCTTCTTCCCTACTCATCAATGGCAAAAAAATCCAAAAACCCTTCTACCTCCATTTGAAAAAGTACTCTCTCGTAAGCAAAACCCTCATCACAGCCTCCAAAAGAGGTCGATTTAGGGTCAGACCACTCAGAAAACTTGCATCTTCTCAGGAAGAGCTCTTCGATGATGTGCGTAGATTAAACAAAAAAGACATAGGCAAATACCCCATAGAAGAAAATCTTGAGTCCCTCACTTAAATGAAGCCCAAAGCAGACCTCACGAGTTCTTTAGATTATGACATCAACTTTTGGGATACCCCAAATAGAGACACCTTCATCGTATTCAAGGACAAACCAATAGCCCATGGCAGGGTTATTGACCTAGACGACATGGAGAGTCTCAACTGCAAGGTCAAGGAACTCTTCGATTTTCAAGGTTGGACAATTTTTCTCTCTCTACCCCCCCCCCCCCCCCCCCCCCCACCCAAAGGTTTATGAAGCCCTAGTTAGGATGTTTTATGCAAACCTTCGTTCTCCAAAACCTGATAAGTTGGAATATTTAGTTCATGTTAAGCGTATTGTTCTAGATTGTGCCCTGTTTAATTCAAATTTTCAGTGTAAGGGTTTTGGATTTTCAATGCTGTTAAAAAATATCCGACCTAAATACTTTGAAATTTCTTTTGACCAAGCAAAATGTTGCATAGCCGAGTCACCCACCGATTCCCTTCCAGTCAGTTAGGTCCCAGTGATGTTAGTTTTGAAACTCGAGTTCTCGCACACATTGTGGCAACAACCCTTCTTCCCCATACTGGCTCATTCTCTACCTTCTCCCAACAGGATACATTTCTTGTTTATTGTCTTGCCTTGTGACTAAGCATAGAGTTAAGTTATCCTCCTGAGTTATCAATTTCATGGTAGAGAGTGTTGATGATCCCACAAGTCGTCCCTATTATATGGTTATCACCCGCCTTCTCAAAGCACACAACATTTCCCTGTCCAATTATCCCTTTGTTAAAGTCATCAAGTCCTACAACTCCAGAGCCTTTGCCAGCATAGGATATATCGTTGTGAAGGGCAATTGGATAAAGAAGCAAGAAGGAGAAGCTAAGGTTGTCCATAATGAATCCAAAGCCAAAGTGTCTGTGTTTCATCCCAGTGTTTGTGACCCTGATCTTGTGAAAAAGCTAACTGCTATTGACAACAAGCTGACCATCATCAAGGATCTGCTAGTCTCCACTCAAATAACAATTGGAAATATTCATGACATCTCAAAGGAGACAGGTTCTGATGTATCCAGGATAAGAGTCAAGATTCTCAAGATAGCAGAGAATGCAATCACAACATTGAAGGAAGTACATGACAGGATCTTTGGTATATCATTCACAGTGCATGCTAGCTTCGATCGTCTAAAGGATACTATCTGTTATACTCTCACTTATTTCCTACGTCATTAAATTTGTGGATGGATGGATGTTTAAGATAATTGTTTTTGTGTTTGATTTGGATTGGATTTCCAGTCGTGGGTTGTACTATTAAGTTTTCTATCTATGCCCTAGCATGACTAACTAGTTAACTATTTTTTGTTTTAATATATTTCTTTTGCTAGTATAATGATTTTTGTCAATGCCAGAGGGGGAGAATGGCTACCCAGTTGAGGGGGAGTCGGCTAGCACACGGCCATGGCAAAGATGTCCAGTTGAAGAGGAGTCAACTACAACAAAAGAAGAGTCTACTAATATAGACAGGGAAGTAAACTGATTTTATCTGTTATTTTGTCATCATCAAAAAAAGGGAGATTATTAGATCCAGGTTTCAATGATGAAAAATAACATGTCTCTATTTACAGGACAATTCCAGGAGAAAAGGATGACAAGAAAGACCATCAAAGATATGTGTATAAAGACATGAAAGGAAGGACTAAAAGATCTCTGAAGATCTGACAACTCAGGCGAAGGAAGAAAAGAAATCAAGGTCCAAAATTAAAGGAGTCCAAGGCCTGGTAAAATTTGCAAAGAAAATAATGTTTTATGGTGTCGGACTAGGCTTACGTATTTGAGAATTATAGAAATTCTTCACGGCGAGCTTGCGAGCCGTGGCTCGGACTTTTTGGGTTGAACAATGCACCAGAAAGTAAAGGAATTTTTTTGCCGGAAAAGTGCATTTATGCGGTCCATTATGCGACCGCATAATCACTCTGCGGGCCGCATAATGGCCGCAAAAGTGAGCAGGAGAGGGCTATTCTGGAAGCAGCTATGCGGTCGACTATGTGACCACATAGTGACCGCATACACAGGCAAATCTTTTGGCTATTTTGTAACCAATTATGCGACTGATATGCGGTCGCATATGCGACCGCAGAACTTGTTCCGGAGCTCCATTTTTGGGTTTTTAAAACCCGACCCTATTTCGTTAAATACACTCTTTGGGTAATCTTTGAGCTATTATCTGACATTTTAGAGTGAGAGAGGGTGCCCTAGAGTGAGAAGGTGATTCTTCAATTCTTGCTCAAGATTTGGAAGATTAAGAAGGGAAACTCACTAGGTCTTTATCCTAGAGGTAATATTCTACACCCTAACCCTCAATTTCGAATTTTGTGTGGAAATAGATAATAAGCAAGATAATTTCTGGGCAAGAGGGTTGGTTATTTTACATGCATGTGTTATCAAAGGGTGTAGAAAGATTGTTGAGCTAAAAATGGTAAAGGTTGGGTTGTGGGATGATGGAATCCTCCATAAAAGGACCTTGAACCTTAATGCATACCTAGTATTTGATAAAATGCTCAAATGAGCTAGAACCATAATCATCTTCCTAATTGTGATTCAATTTGTTATATTTCTAAAATAGATTGAAGTTGCTAAGAATTTTGGAACGTTTTAAAGTTTAAGGAAGCTCAATTGAGGTATGTTGGCTAAACTCTTCTTTAAGAGTTGGAATTCTCATTATCCTTGTAAGTTCCGAGATGTTGATTATAAATCGAGTATTCCGATAAGTTTTGTTATGAAGATATGTGATCAATTCGTATTTCAAATACTCTTATCATATTGCAATATAAATTGAGGAGGTGTCCCAAACTATGGATTACGTATCCACCTGTTATAATTTCTAGTCGTGATTTATGTGAAAGGTATTATGCCAAGTTGTGTAGAGATTGTGATTGTGATACACCTCCACTCGCATACATTGGGGCGAGGCGGCATGACCGCTTTGTGTGGAGATTATGGTATAGAGATTGTGATTATGATACACCTCCACCCGCATATATATTGGGGTGAGACGGCATGACCGCTTTGTGTAGGGATTATGATATTGTGGGACTACACCTCCACCCGCTTACTTTGGGGTGAGGCGGTACGACTGCTTTGTGTATGGTTTTGGTATTGTTGTGGTACCACCACCCACATACATTGGGGTGAGGCGGCATAGCCGCTTTGTATTGGTATTGGTATCGTTGATGCATTTCCACCCGTGTACATTGGGGTGAGGCGGCATAGCCGCTTTGTATTGGTATTGGTATCGTTGATGCATTTCCACCCGTGTACATTGGGGTGAGGCCGTATAGCAGCTTTTTGTAGGTTCTTGGTACTGTGGTTATACATCCACCCATATACATTGAGGTGAGGAGACAGGGCCACTTGATTAGAGTTGTGGTATTATACGTACACCTCCATATGCATACATCAGGTGAGGCGGCGGGGCCGCTTTGTGTGAAGATGGTTATATAGGATCTCATCTTAAATCCTATAAATGTTGTTGATAGCTTTTAATAAGCTTGCTATGGTTGAGACAGTTATCTATTTTATTCTATTTCCACACTAGTTCATCATAATTATCTTGTATTTCTAAATTCTTAAATTGGTGTTTAGTTTTCATACTAGTACTATTCGACGGTACTAACGTCCCTTTTGCCGGGGGTGCTGCATCTTTAAATCGATGCAGGTGGTTTCACAGCAGGACACATTGATCAGTGATAGCAGTAAAACTTCTTCCCAGCTAACTTGGTGAGCCCCACTTCATCCTGGGTTCATGTATCTTTTGATCTTTATGTATTATGGTTGAGTTATAGCCGAGGCCTTGTTGCCGGCATTATCATTGTACTCTTCTTTTTCTATAGAGGTTCCGTAGACATAGTATGGGTTGTGTATTGGTACTGGGAAGGAAAAATTATGTTATGTTGTGGTTGAATTTCTTGTCCATTTGAGACTTTAAAAATGGTGAAACTTATGGTAAGAAATTGGTAATTTCAGACATGACCACTTTATTGTTTAATTAAGGAAAACATATATTCTCTTTATTCATAAATGAGTTTGGGTAGAAAGAATCTAATAGGCTTTCTCGGTCGGGTTCACTCGGTTGAGCGTCGATCGCGCTCCTCAATTTTGGGGCATGATAGAACTGAAGATAAAAATTTTAAAGGAAAGATGTTAAACTCCGAAATCAAAGGCTATACATTGAAGTGGGATTCACTTGTAGATGGAAAGTCTATCAAGCTTGTCAGT